TGTAATTTGAAAAGATTACCGTAATCATGGAGTTAGAGCTAAAGATGTCCAGTGAGATTTCATAACCCAGTATAAGTCAGTTTCAACACATGACTTTCTTTCCCACTCTCTCAATCTTGTAAGAATTAATTTGACCCACGAAACATGTCATTTTACTTTCTTTTTTTATTCTTACATCTACAAATAAAGTTATCACCACTAATATAATTATCAGGGACCTCTGATGGCCTTGTATTTATAGAGATGTGCTGCTAATCTGAAGGCAGAATTTACTGGCAATTTGAATCTACCAGCAGTTCTGTAGGAAAAAGGTTGGAAATTCTCTCCTGTGCAACGTACACTCTTCGAAAGTCACTAAGTGGTCATTCATGAGTCAGTTCCAACTCTGTGGCTATAAGTATGAGGGGGTTATTGTTTAATAAATAGATCAAATTATATACCTTAATCAGTTATAGCTTCTGCTTTACTTAATGATATTAATGATTTTTGTCATCTGCATTGAGTTGGAACTGACCTATCAGCAGGTTTTCAGAGGCAGTAAAATGAGCAAGAGGAGACTGTCTATTTTTCTCTCCCATGGAGCAGCTGGTGTATTTGAACCATATACTTTTGGGTTGGCACCTCCAGAGGTCCTTGTTGTCCACATAGGCACTTCTAAAAATTAATTATTTAGCAAGAAGACTAGACATTTTATTTTATATATCTGCACTATTGAAATGAATAGCTACAGCAATAGTTTTCGGTATAAATATATTTTACAAAACCATGGGCAATAAATTTTCATTTACCACTATTTTCTAAGTACTAATCATTGTTGGGTTTTGTTCCATTTTTTGTCTAGTGGTGAAGCTCAACATCAAGAAAACAAAAATTCTCACCACAGGGCCAATTGGCAGCATCATGATGGGTGACCAAGAGACGGACATTGTTGACAGCTTCAGTTTGCTTGTCTCTACAGTCAACACTCTTGGTATCAGCAGCCAGGAAATAAAAGATAAATTTCACTGGGGAAACTCTACTGTCAGAGACCTCTCCAAAGTACTAAAGAGCAATGATGTCAGCCTGGAGACTAACGTGTGCCTGATCCAGGCCATAGTCTTTGCAATTACTTGCTATGCATCACAGAGCTGGACAGTGACTAGGGATGACAGAAGGAGAGTTGATGCCTTTGATCTTTGATGTTGGAGAAGAGTATTGAACATACCATGGACTCCTAAGAGAACATACAAGTTTGTCCTAGAGAGGGTGAAGCCAGGCTCGTCTTTGGAGGCAAGGATTCTGAAGCTCCTTCTGACATACTATGAACATGTTGCAAGGCAGAATTGGTCCTTGGAGACGGATATCATGCTGGGAGGATGGAGGGACAGCGCAGGAGAGGAGGACCCTCCATGAGATGGATTGGTTCAGTAACTGGGGTTCTGCGGATGGGCGTGTTGGAGACAGTAAGATTGGCAAGGGATAGAGTAGGATTTAGGGCTGCTGTAGGTAGGGTCTCTATGAGTTGCAGATGACTGGAAGGCACGTAACAACAACAGTGGTAAGAAGTTGTGCTGAAATCCCAAAAGGCACATGGCTTGAATCCACCAGCTGCTCCACCAGAGAAGGATAGAAAATCTCCTTCTGTGTGATTCAACTTGATGGCACCCAACAGCAATAGAATTGAGTGACTTTATTAACAACAGATCTGAATATCTCCTATCCTGTGTTATCCTCACCATATCTGGCATAATGGAGCCGATTGCAGTCATCATTATGTAAATCTATCTCTTTGAGGGTCTGCTAATCCTCTACCTTTCCAAGTATAGTGTTCCTTTCCAAGTAATATCCCTCCTAACAATATATGCAAAGTATAAGTGACAATGTTTTGCCATCCTTGCTCCAAGGAACACTCTGGTTGCACTTTTCCCAAGACATACCTGTTTGTTCTTTTGGCAGTCTATAGAATATTCAGTACTCTTCTCCAACATTACAACTCAGAGGCATCTATTCTTCCGTCGTCCTTATTCATTATCTAGCTGAATGTGAATCCCAGATTATTTATTTATGCTCATATGAACCTATACTTAGACCAAGAAGCTGTTGTTCTAACAGAGCAAGAGAACAGAATATGATTTAAAATAAAAAAAGGAGCGTGTCAGGGATGCATCTTTTCTCCATATTTATTCAATCTGTATACTGAGAAAATCACTCTAGAATCTGGACTTTATGAAGAAGAATGTGGCATTAGAATTGGGGGAAAACTCATCAAGAACCTGTGATATGCATATAACCTTATTTGCTGACAGAAAAAAGTACTTGAAATTCTTGTTGTAGAAGATCAAAAACTATAGTTTCCAATATTGATTACACCCCAACAGCAATAAAACAAAAATCTTTACCACCAGCCCAATAAACAACATCATGGTAGTTGGAGAAAAGATTGAAATTGTCAATAATTTTAACCTACTGGGATCCACAATCAGCAATCTTAGCATCAGTAGTCAAGAAATAAAAAGACATTTTGTAATGTGAAAGTCTGTGGTCAGGGATCTCTCTAAAATACTGAAGAGCAATGATGTCAGTTTAAAGACTAAGATGTTCCAGTTTCAGGGCATAGTTTTGTCAATAACTTGCTTTGTCAATCAACATTCATTTAGTAGGCTTAAACAGTTGCTTTTTTTCATTTCAATATGTGCAGGTAAACTGAGGGTTTATAGATGTACAGTAGCAATAAGATAAAGAACATTGTCCCCACCCCTTGCTTTGTTGTGTACTATTGAGTCAGATCTGACTGAGACAGTAGGAGGTTGGCCCTCCTTCTCTAGTAGAGCATCTGGTGGATTCGAACCATGTACCTTCGGGATTGTAGTGCAGCTTCTTGCCACTAGGTCACCAGAGCTCCCTAAAGAACACATTTTACCTGCCCAGTGATGAGGTGAGGACTTAGTCCAAAGCTAACTGCAAAGGCAATAATTAAAAACCCTGTCAATATTGCATATTTTAAACTTACCCCCCCAAAGTCAGAGATCTGGGGGGAAATTTTATGGTATTGAGGTACAAAAATCCTAAATACAGGAAATTTATGCAAAAGAGGAGAAATAGAGATTGAGATGGAGATAGTTAAAAAAGAAACTATGCAATAGTTGCTATATTCTACAAATAAGATTATTAGATATAATAGCAATTTACTAATCGTAATATATTTGTGCAAGTTTGAAATTGAATCTATCTTAAAGTCACTGACTTTTATAAGCCTTTTAATATTTTTAGTGAAAGACATGGCTATAGTTATTACCACAGTTTGACCATGAATAACTTGTATCTAATAAAGGTGAAAGGAATTACCAAAATCACACATCTAGGCATTATGAGAGCTATAGATTGCAACCAGGCAATCTAAATTCAAACATTTTAGTTCTTCCTTAAATAGTGTTGGGTTGTTTTTTTTTTTCCAATGGGAAAATTTAATGACCAAGGTTACCTACAGCCTTCTCCCTGTTTGAAACTTGCGGAGAATTCCTAATCGAATCTGCTTTGTCTTGACACTATACACAACAGGGTTAAGCACTGGGGGAAGAAGAAGATAGATGTCAGCCATGAGGACATGGACTATGGGAGACAGATTTTTTCCAAAGCGATGTACCATTGATACTCCAATGACTGGCACAAAGAAGATGAGCACCACGCAGATGTGAGATACACAGGTATTAAGAGCCTTTAGTCGTTCTTCACGAGATGCAATACCTAGTACAGCATTCAGAATCAGGATATAAGAAAGAAGTATGAAGACTGAGTCTACACCCAGGGTGACGATCACTATGCACAGCCCATAAATGCTATTTACTCTAGCATCTGAACACGATAATTTAAAAACATCCTGGTGCAAGCAGAAAGCATGAGAGAGGGTATTGATATGGCAGTAGTGATAGCGTCTCAGTAGCAGAGGTGTAGGTAGTACAACTCCCATGCTTCTTAGCAAGCAGGCCACACCAATCTTGCCAATGACACTGTTAGTGAGAATGGTGGAATAGTGTAGTGGACGGCAGATGGCAACATAACGGTCAAAGGCCATGGCCAGCAAAACCGAGGATTCCAGGAATGTGAATGTGTGAATAAAGAAAAGCTGTGTGTAGCAAGCATTTGCCTGGATCGCCCGAGCATCCAGCCACAACACAGCAAGCACGGTGGGAAGCGTGGACAGTGACATACCCAGATCAGTTAGTGCCAGGATGGAAAGGAAATAATACATGGGCTGATGGAGTGAAGACTCTACCCAAATAACAGAGAGGATAGTGACATTGCCAATAACTGACACAAAGTATGCAAAGCAGAATGGAATTGAGAGCCAAGAATGAACATGCTCCAGTCCAGGAAAACCCCTCAGGATAAATACAGGCTCCATATAGTCACTGCTATTCCAGACAACCATGATGACTCTTAAAATTCCTTACAAATAGGAGCTTTGGACAAACTGAGAGGAATTGTTTCTGTTACTTCTTTTCATCCTGCAAAGTTCTCCATTGTAAGCAGATTCAGTGCCTCTGGGTGAGATACTTATTTCCTCATTTACACAGAAAGAGTTCTTATTTACACAGAAGGAGGCAAGTAAGAAGTTCTTTCTATAAATCTAACATGAAAATAATGTCCAGTTATAGAGAACTTCAAGTTCTGGAACCACGTGTGGATCACACAAGCTTGGCCATCTCCAATAAGAGCGTTGTTAGATTTGCCTCAAGGATACTGAAACATTTAAACAAGAAAAGTAGTAGAGTAAGAAAGCTTTTGCTATAAATTGTAAAAGGAAAATAGAGACAAGTGAGAGTACACATCCACTGATTTATACAAGCTTGCAGTACATGATGTTCTAGGGTTAATAATTTATTGTCCTTAGGTTGTCTTCTCATGCTTGTCAATTAGGCTGGTCCTGAGGACTCAAGACCATTTCCTTTTCATTCATCATTTAGAATATTTCATGGTTGAAGAGATTTAATTATTAAACAACTCTGGTAGCATATCCCATAGAAACTGAAACTTGTGCTGCTAACCCAGAAGTGGAAGCTCTCTGGCAGATTGAATCCACACGTGTCTCCTTGGGAGAAATAAATGACAGTCTCCACCTGTGTGATTTACAGCCTCCAAAAACCTGCTAGTGAGTCAGCATTAAGTCAGTTCTGACTTGATGGCAGTGAGTTCTTTTGAATTATGAAAGGTTAGTGCCTTATTTTATGGAGAGGAGAAATGAAAAAGAGAAATATAAATCCACACAATCCCAGTATACATGCATGATTTTTAACTCTTTACTGAGCAATTCAACAAGTATTCCTTAACTTAAAATACAAGTGTTTCATAACTAATGTTTACTATTCTTTCCATGACAGATTTTTTTTTGTTTTGGGGGTTTTTTTTGGGGGGGAAGTTTTCCAATTAAAAAAAAAATTTCTCTCATTACTGATTCTTACCTCTATTTTATAATGTGAAGACTGAAATTTCTCAGAACACATGTCAGACAATTCCAAATAGAACTTGAGCTTAGAATCTATACCTAAGGAAGACAAGGAAATACTGAGTCACTTACTTCAAATAATAAGAAAGAACTCTCTTTTGTTATTCTCCAAAGTCACCCCCGGGCCAGCTGGCAGCATAATGATAGATAGTGAAGAGATTGAGATTGTTAACAGCTTTAGTTTGCTTGGCTCCACAATCAACACTCTTGGTACCAGTGAGAAGCCAAATAGACTCCATTTTATGCAGTACTCACTCCATTTGAGTAACCCAACCCTGTGTGTGGAAAATTTCTGCCCTGAGCCCTAAAGTTTTATCTTGACTCATTGCCACAAAAGTAGTTGTTATTGTTTATGTAAATGTACCCTTGATAAACTCAAGATGTAGATGTTTTGTGCTGTACCCATGACTACGTCACTGTACTCTTAGTAATACGTCAACAGCAGGATATTGTAGCCTGGACCCACATAGCTCAGCATGTAGAGGAGAATAAGGATACAAAAGCACCTAGTTGAAGCTAAGATATTGGAGGAATACTGCTGTGTTGTGGAGACCCCTCCCCACGCCAGCTGCACAGCAAATAAATGACCTTACTTATAATTTTGTGGTGGGTATCTCTTAACCTGTTGGACACAACACCAGCAGGCAGGAAATCAAAAGACGAATTGCACTAGGAAGTATGCTGTCAGGGACTCTCCAGAATATTGAAGACCAGTTATGTCAGTCTGGAGACTAAGGTGCACCTGATCCAGGCCATAATCTTCACAATTACTTGCTATGCATCAGAGAGCTGGAAAATGATTAGAGATGATAGAAAGAAAATTGATGCCTTTGAGCTGTGGTGCTGGAAAAGAGTACTGAATATTCCATGGACTGCCAGGAGAACAGGTTTGCCCTTGAGAGGGTGAAAACAGGCTATTGATTCTGAGGCTTCGTCTGACATACTTTGGACATGTTGCAAGAACGGACCAGTCCTTGGAAAGGGACATCAAGCTTGGAAGAGTAGAAAATAACACAAGAAAGTAAGACTATTAATAAGATGGGTTGATTCAGTGGATGGGGTAATGAGGATAGGTGAGTCAGAGACAATAAGGTTGGCACAGGATAGAGCAAGTTTCAGAGCTATTGTACATAGGGTCACTATGAGTCTCAAGCAACCTGACGGCACCTAACAACAAAAGTCCAGGCAGGATACTTTGAGTAGATACCTTATGGGTATTTCCTCCAACCCCTAGTTGTCTAAATTGAGCTATAATTGGAGTCCTTGCCCTAAATAAAGCAGTCAGCTGTTTACCATGTTCTACATATATTAGGCAGAATATTCACTTTACACAGTTAACTTTTCTTTTCTTCCAAACAACACTTTCTTATCTATAACATCTGCCAAAGCCACTGGCGTTCTTACATCTTCTTTCTTTTTAGATTTTGGTCTTTTGTCCTTGTTCTATAAAGTTCAGTTCATCAAGGCAATATATGAAACACATGCACACTCATACCCAATAACAATATTGTGCCCACAATGGAGTTACTTCCTTAGCTTCTTGCCAGGTAATTGCTTCATTCTTTAAAAAAAAAAATCTTCCATTTATGATATATGTTGTTCTGCAGTATACCACAGAGTCAGACCTACCCATAGCTGACCTTCCAACAGGTTTTCAGAGGCAGTTAATTGCACGGAAAGAGATTGTCCATCCTTCTCCCACGTAGCAGTGGTGGCCTCCAACCACTTGCCTTAGGGCTTGCTGCACAATTTCTTGCCACTACACCAGAGCTCCTTTTTGATATATATAAGTGGGGGGGGGGAAATTAATTGGATCCCCATTTTTCAGATTATCTTTCTCTTTTGTGCATGCTTTAATATGTGGAATAAATGGAAAGCAATAATAGAAGGCTTGCCTCCACTTTTAAAGTTAAGACAGGAATATGTAGTTTATATTTTGACTTTTTTATTCTTCTCTCTTTCTGCCATGTTGTTGTAACGGTCTTCCATTTTCTGTCAGTCACATGTAGTTATTTTTTCTTCTGTTAATTTTATTCTAGTTTTATCTATGCCATTGACAATCATCTTTGTGGTTCTTTTTTCTTAATGTAATTGAATCACAATTTGATTCAAACATAAACAATAAGAAGAGGCTACTGAGTAATAATAAGAAGTATGTTCTCAAGAGCAGAGTCATGAAGAAAATTATTTTACACGAAAGCACTGAGGATAAAGTCATTTACTTACGGCCTCTCTAATACCTTAGACACAGTCTTCAAAACCTACCTTCACTAACCAGGCTGTGCGGGAGGAAGCTGGGCAGCAGACTTCTCCCATGAGATGATTTACTGCCTCTAACAACCTGTTAAAGCCTCAGCTATGGGTTAGATCTGACTCCAATGCAAAAAACAACGATGACAACAACACTCATATGCACTCACATACATTTTAGATACATTTGCATTTATACATACATTATATTTATGAAGCTCTGGTGACTTGATCCACAGGAAGTTGTACTGTTAACTGATGGACAATTCCTTCCCTTATGTTATAGGCTGGGAAACTATGAAAAAGTTAACTGGAATTGTTTCTGACTTGATAGAAATGGGTTGAACTGAGTTATATTTTATATTTTTTGCATAATACAAGGAAGCTCTGGTGGCTTCTTCTTGAGGAGTTGGGCTGCAACCCAGACGTGTGTGGTTGCAATTCACCAGGTGCTCTGCAGGAAAAAAGTAGACAATCTCTTATCAAACAATTTACTACCTCTAAAAACCCACTGAAGAGTCAGCTACTGATTGGTTGCATTTGGAAGGTGCATAATAACATTCGACACATACTCTTTATATATATATATATCTACGTGTATAGATGTAAGCTACACTTAAAGTTACCCAGTATTTATCTTTTACTTAAAAGTTTAATGCTTACCTGAATGTGCAAGTAAGAAGATTGCTCCAAGATCAGAATTTAATTACTCATTAACCATTTCCTAGCTGATGCTCTGATCTAGTTTCTCTTTCTCTGTCTAAACCTCCCTACAGTGTTTAATAATCCTATTCTCTTTCTGTGAATTTCTCCCTCTGTCTCTTTCATTTCATACACTGCTCTCTCCTTGTGTCTCTCACTAGCATTCCACTTATTTTTACTTGACCTAAACCTGTGTTCTTCCAGAATTTGATTCTTTTGTGTGTGTGTGTGTTTTTTTATAGTCAATTAGACTGAATCTTACTATGATCTCTCTCCCTGTACTCTGTAGACTTCCAACTCCTCATTTTCTCTCCATCCACTCCCTATATCTTTCTTGTCAAGTCTCCTTATATTTCTGTGATTCTAACTGTAAGTAATTTTGTCTTACTCTTCATCTGAGATGTACCTCTGCATATGAACTTCATAGTTATATTTATTGCAGTGCTGTAATTTTTACTCTGCCTGCAGCTCTGGTCTTGAAAAGTTTTGGTCCCTTAAATAGTGGGCCTTCAGTATTTTCACTTTCTCTATTAATACTCCCACTTTCTCCTGGGACAGGGTTAGGATTAGTGTCAGAGTTTATATGTTCCCTAGAGATGAGCAAATGTAAATAACTTTCACCATAGCCGTGCACAGAGCATGACCACAATCTCAGATATTGTAGAGATATACCCTCGTGTCCATCAGCCACACAATGTTGGTTCTTCAAATGTCACTTCTCAAATAAGATAATGAACTAACGATAACTATTTTTACAGGACTATTAAAATGTTTACCTTTAATTTGCACTACCCTAATAGAATATGACAAAAAAGTACAATGAGGGGGTCAGTTATTTACCACTTCCAAGTGATTATTATTCATGTGTTTAATTATCCTTTATTAAGTGTCAACAGTATTTAAATATCCATAATACCAAGTCTAAAGGCAAACAAAACAAATTAGAGTGCATTACTCTTTCCATTGTACTTTTA